CGCAGCGGTGAGGTCGAAGGCGACGGCGCCGGTGGCGCCAACCTCGCGCGCGACGTGCGCGGCGTCGCCAAACAGGTCGTCCGGGCTCGAGGTCGCCAGCACCACCAGCTCCACCGAGGCCGCGTCCACGCCGCTGCTCTCGAGCGCTTTTTGCGCCGCCCGCGCCGCGAGCGTGGAGAGGCCCTCGCCGGGCGCGAGCAGGTGGCGCTGCCGGATGCCCGTCCGCTGGGAGATCCAGTCGTCCGAAGTCTCGACCACAGACGAGAGCTGCGACGAGGCGGCGGGGAGCGCTCAGCTCCTGTGCGAGCCAGCGGGAGCGGGAAGAGGAGGCGGCGGGCTCACCTGCTCGTTGGTCACGACGGTGTCCGGCGCAGCCGAGCCGATGCCAACGAGACGCGAGCGGAGCGCACCGCGGTGAGCCTCGACAGCGCGTGGCGCCGCGCTCCTGAGATCCAGGGGTGGCGCACTCGGTGGGTTTCCGCGGTCTTCTGTCGGTTTCTCTGCACCGGCGGCCGGAAACCTGCTCCTCTGGACGCGTGCCGTGCTCGCAGGCACGGCGCCGAGCTGCTGAGACAGTCCGACCGCGCTTGCGATTAGCAGAAGCCGCATCGCTGTCGTTACTGCGGTCACACGCCTGTTCCGATCCTCGTCGGAGAGAGTGCACCTCAGGGGTGCCTGACGGAAGAATTTTGGGTACTGCACGGGACTAAATCCCTGTATTAAAATCCCTGTGTGGTGGCGGCGTGCCGTCCTCCCCGTCTGAATTCTTTGAATAAGCGTCTCTCACAGCACACTGGCACGACAAGGGCGCGGACTGGCGCGGACTTCTCTGCGGAAGAATTTTGCGGCGTCTGCACGGGACTAAATCCCTGTATTAAAATCCCTGTGTGGTGGCGGCGTGCCGTCCTCCCATCCCTCCCTTGGCTGTCTATTTTCTTTCTTTCTGGGCACGCACGGGACTGGCGCGCACTGGCGCTAACACAGGTAAAGAAAGAAAGAAAGAACACAGGGATCCAAGGGAGGGAGGGATGGGAGGACTAACACAGGTACACAGAAGAATTGCCGCTCACCTCAGCAACACCTCTTTCTTTTCGCCCTTAAACTCTTTCTTTGCCCTGGGTGTGAGGACTGAGGTTACCAACCAATCGCACTCCAAGACCAAGTAAGTGCTCCAAGAAAGAGCCGGGTTGCGCCGTGACCCGTGAGGCCGAGGTCGCGAAATAAAGAGGGCCGATCCGTGCGAAAGCGGCTTGTTTTTCCGCACTGCTTTCTTTTTATAAGTCTCTCCCCCGCAACTGAGGGGGTGGGGTCGGAGTTGCACCGTCATCCGTCCGTTTCGCGCGCATTACCATTAGCGACGATGCTCTCGACGCTCCGACACGCTGGCGGCAAGAGGAAGGTGGGCGAAAGCGGAGCCGCTGCTGATGAGGGCTCCGACGATGGCGACGGCTACGCCGTCAAGATGCTGCAGCGTCTCCTCGATGTCGCACGGCCCAAACAAGCAACTTCTCGATCGCTGGCCGACACACTCGAGCTCGTGGTGGAAGAATGGAGTGTTCACGCAGCGGAGATGCAAGGGACCACGTATGAGATCGTCGGCGGCGAAGAGCGTGCCAATGCCAAGAAGAACCTGCGTCGAGGGTCGGAGACAAAAAGCGTTATGAGCATGGTGCTAGACGCGGCCGGCACAGATGAGCTGCCGCAGGCAAGCCGCTGCTGCCACTGCCGCTGACGCACGTACCGCTCGCGCCCAACCAGTCGCAGCCCCCACGCCTGCAGGTGCTCGAGCTCGTCTCGAAGCTCCAAACCAGCGCTGGCCGCGCTGCGCTAGTCGATATGTACGGAGCAAAGCACGAATGCGCCGACGATGCCGAGATGGCAAATGACGATGATGACGTCGATGCGAGCCGCTGCGTCCCGCCTGCAGGAACCAAGGTAGCGCTGTGCAAGCTTGCTGCCCATACTGTCATGAATGAGCAGTGTGGCACAATCGCCGGCTACTCAGCTGAAGCTGATCGGTACGTGGTGCAGCTCGAGGATGGAACGCGCGTGCGAGTGTGTCGTGGCAACCTACGCCTCGAGGCGCTGACCACTCATGATTTCGCTCATGCCATCGGCGAGACCTGCACTGTGTTCTCGCGTCTCGCTGCTCGCCACGGGGCATCCATGACCAGCGAGCTCGTCGGCGCGCTGCTGCAGCTGCCAAGCCGCGAGTGGACAGTCATGAAAGACCTGGTCGCGGTGGACTACGCGTGGGAAGCGCGCACGCAAGAGGGTGTCTCCCTACACTCGCTCGGTGCGCCTCCCTCACACAAGGCGCAGAAGACGAACTCCGGCTCGTACGACCGGCTGAGGTGTCGTCTACGTGTGCTTCGCGCGACACTACCAGCAAACCTCGCGGAAGAGTTTCTCGAGGTCTCAGCGGCTGCTGCTCCCTTTCGCGCGGCTGCTGTCACGAAGGAGACAGCCGGTTGCCTGCCACTGCGACTTGCATACAACCGCCCGACAGACCTCGTTGCTAGCGCCCAAGGCCCACTTCCTCTTCCGTACGGGCACATGTTCATTCCAAACTGCGTCGACGACTCGTCTCCGCAGCCGCGACCAGTTGCCTGCATTCCGACCGAGTGGCCGCTGAGTTGCCGCCTTCTTCTCCACCTCCCTCGCCGCCGCCGCCCTCGCCGCCGCCGCGCAACCCACCGCCGCCCTCGCCGCCGCCACCCTCTCCTCTGACCTCGCTACCACCTCCCACGCCACCGCCACCCTCGCTGCCGCCACGTTCACTATCACCGCGCTCGCCTCCACTCGCGCTGTTCCCGCCACCCCCCCCCCCCGCCACACTCATGTACGCTCACCGTCTCACTCACGCGCCTGATGACCCTGCAATGCCACCGCCTCCCACCCAACCGCCGCTCTCAAAAACGAGCAAAAGAGAGTCGAATAACGCACGGCGGCTCAGCGGAGCTGGGAATAGGACCGCCGCAAGCGGCGTGGCGTGGAGCGGTTGAGCATCCCTCCGGGGGCCCCTCTGCGCCGGGGAGGCGTTGTTGGAGGCTAGGACGCAAGCGTCCGTCGCCACCCTTTTCAGACTCGGGGCCCACTCACTCCGCTACGCTCCGACCCGAATTTGCCAACCAATCGCACTCCAAGACCAAGTAAGTGCTCCAAGAAAGAGCCGGGTTGCGCCGTGACCCGTGAGGCCGAGGTCGCGAAATAAAGAGGGCCGATCCGTGCGAAAGCGGCTTGTTTTGCCGCTCTGCTTTCTTTTTGCCTGCATCCTTTCAGGGGCGGCGTGGCTCCGCGCTAAGCGCAAGAAAGCTGATGGCAGCAGAAGAGGCCGCGAACGCTGAGCCCGTCCCAACGGTGCGCGCCACCGGCGGCGACGCCACACACACACGGCCTTCTGCTGCGCGTGTGCGTGCCTCGGGACGGGGCTGCGGCGGCAGCCAAGCACAGAGGGCAGAGGCGGTCTCAGCGCCTGCGCCGGGAGCGCTGCACGCAGAACCGATGGTGTTCTGCTGCTTTTGCGTTCCGCGTGACTCCAACCCCCGCCTGTCCCGGCGGTAGGATGCCGGGCCCGTCGAGGAGAAGCCCAAGGACGAGAAGCCAAAGGAGATCAAGAAGGTCAGCAAGCCAGACGACGCTCTGCTGAAGCAGCGTCTGCAGGAGCAGGACGACAAGCTCGTGGACAAGCAGGCGCGGCTGGAGCAGATCAAGGCGACGGTGGACACGCGCAACCAGCCGACCGAGAACGCCGAGTTCACGGCCGCTCGCAGCAAGTTCAACGTGGTCCGCGCCGAATCGCGCCGGCTGCTGCAAGAGAAGCGGTCCATCTATGACCAGATCTCCTCGGCGGACGAGCTCAAGAAGCAGCAGCAGGACCTGACCCAGCGGCTAAAGGCGGAGCTGCAGTTCTTCTCCGTCGAGGACATCGAGCGGAAGATCAAGGTGCGGAGCGCGCGCGGAGGGACACCACTCCCCCACAGGGCGGCGGCGGCTCGGCGGCCGCCGGCCGGACGCAGCCAGCGGCCACTCTCGCTCGGGCCACGCCTCGGCGGCGGCGCGCGGCGCACGCGCCGACACCCGTGGCCTCGCCTCACAGGCGCTGGAGATGCAGCAGCAGACCACCTCCACCTCGGTCAAGGAGGACAAGAAGATCATCGAGGACATCAAGCGGCTCGCCGCAAACAAGCCAATGATCAAGCAGTTCGACGAGGCGCAGGAGTCGCTGCGCGGGGTCAAGGAGCACCACAACGAGCTGTACACCCAGCTCAAGGCCAAGAACGCCGAGCTCAACTCCTCCAAGGAGGAGGAGGAGAAGTGGCGCGCCGAGATGGACGCGGCCAAGGCGAAGGAGGACGCAAAGCGCTCCGACCTGCCCGCCCTCTACAAGGAGCGCGACCAGCTGCGCAAGGAGATCG